GATGGGAGCCGTGGTGAAAGCCTTCTTGAGGGTCACAAAGGCATCTTCACCTGCAGGTGTCATTTGCCACGGTGCCTTGACATTGTCCTCGGTGGTCTTGGTCTTGGTCAGGTCTGTGAGTGGACGAGCAATGTTGGCATAGCCTTGAATGAAGCGACGGTAGAAGTTGGCAAAGCCAAGGAAAGCTTGGACATCTGTCTTGTTACGTGGGACAGGCCAATCCAGCACGGCAGAGACTTTGTCCTCGCACATCTTGATGCCAGCAGGGGAGATGTGGTAGCCAAGGTACTCGGTGGAATCTTGATGGAAGGCACACTTCTCAATCTTACAGTAGAGCTTGTGCTTGATCAGACGTTGCAGGACTTCTTGAACTTGGTTGACGTGATCATCAAGGTTGTCAGAGAAGATGAGGATGTCATCCAGGTAGACGAGGACAGAGGTATCCAATAGGTCACGGAAGACGTCGTTCATGATGGCTTGGAACGTGGCAGGAGCATTGGTGAGCCCAAAGGGCATGACAACGGACTCAAAGTGTCCAAAGGGAGTCCTGAAGGCAGTTTTCCATTCGTCACCTTCCTTGATACGGACCAGGTTGTAAGCACCACGGAGATCCAGCTTGGTGAAGTACTTGGCTGACCTGAGACGGTCCAGAGCATCAGAGATCAATGGCAGGGCGAGACGGTTCTTGATGGTGAGAGCATTGAGACCACGGTAGTCAACACAGAGACGAAGCTCTCCTGACTTCTTCTTGACAAAGAGCACAGGTGATCCAGCAGGGGACTGTGAACGACGGATGAATCCCTTCTGAAGGTTCTCATCAATCCAGACACGAAGGGCTTGAGACTCCTTTTCTGACAGGGAGTACAGACGTCCAAAGGGGGGCTTAGATCCTGGTTCCAGAGGGATGTCATGACGGTAGGGAGACCTCGTGGCAGAGAGGTCTGCAAGGGCAGGACTGAAGGCTTCCAGCAGATGATGATACTGACGTGGAAGTTGGGTCTTGAGCTTGGCTAGGTACTCAGGAGAATCAAGAGACTCGGCTTGGATTTCCTCGAGGTCGTCACTGGAGATGGCAGAAACTTGGGCTCGTGTGAAGTTGTGATGGGCACTTGCATCAAAGATGCCACAACCATCAAGATCACCGTCAGTGAGGAGGTCAAGGCATTGACTGGCAGAGACAAGGGCAATGTCCAACTGATCACTGAAGTGGACACGCTTCCTGACGGGGGTCTTGATGGTTGACGGGTGCAAGGATGACTTGAGGTTCTTCTGAGGCAGGGCAGAACGTAGAACAAGGGGCAGGGCATTGATCAGGTTGGGAGAGTCCAGGCAGTACCGGCTGCAATAGGGAGACTTGAACGTGAGCTGGTTGGTACGGAAGCTGACCTCTGGGTCGTGCTTCTTGAGCCAGGGGGAACCAAGCATGATGGGGACGGAGCAGGGAGCAATGACAAACTGATTGATCTCAGAGTGGTTGCCAATGACGACTTGAACAGAGGTGTAGTCCGTGGAGACCTTAGAGGGGGCCTTGCCGTACCAGCCAGAGAACTCCCTTGCTTGGGACAAAGGGTAACGTGGAAGGTCCAGCTGCTTGACAAGGTCCTCGTGGATGAGGTCACATTCTGATCCACCGTCCACCAGAGCATGGGTAGGGCAAGAGAGCTGATTGGAGGAATGTAGGGTGACGGGGACAAAGATCTGGGATCCTTGAGAGGGTTCCAGGGGAGCAGGAGTGGTAGCAGACGAGGATATCGAGAATTTGATGGGGCTCAGGCGTGCTCCTCCGACGGCTGAGCTGACGCAAAATCCTGGGTGGTGGTACTGGGAGCAGCAGAGCCAACTTGGGACGCAGAGTCTGAAGGGGACAGGGATACCGTGGAACCAGCACGGCCATTGGCCTGAGGCTTGCGAGGACAGTTGGTAGCGTAGTGATCAGGGAGTCCACAGTAGAGGCAGAGGTTGTTGGTACGGCGGTATTGCTTGTCAACGTCTGACAGAGGTCCTCTCTTGGAGGAACGTGAGCTGTCAATGTCCATGGGTACAGGACCATCAGTGGGACGAGACGTGGTGGACAGGTTGCCAGTACGAGGAGCAGAGTGACTTGGAGCAAAGGTTGATGACGACGAGGAGGGATTGCCATGAGAACGTGTAGCAGGGTTGGTTGACTTGGTGATCGTGGTGTTGTTGTTTCCTCGAGGGGCATGATAGGAGTTACATTCTTCATCCACCTGAATGGCCTGGTTGATGAAGTCGTTGAGATTAACAAAGGTCTTTCCAAGCAGAGCATCACGGATCTCATTCTTGAGGGAGCCACGGAACTGAAGCATAGCATGGTACTCAGCAATCTTGAGGCGTTCCGTAGCCATCCTGAAGTGAGTGGCATAGGCTCGTACAGAGGTTACTTGTTTGAGGGTGGTAAAGCGTAGCCAGGAGGTCTGATCATCGTGGGGGTCACCAAACTGAAGAATGAGCTCGTCTTTGAATGCTGTCCAGGTCTTCATCCAGTCAGGGGTTTCTTCGTTGCTGATGCCAATGAACGGGGCAGCCCAGTTGGCAGCAGCTGAGCCGGCTTCAAAGTAGCTGATAGCTCCATAGACTCGAGTGGTGTCAGAGGTCGTGTGGGTCAGGGTGTAGTGAAGCTCGCAGGACTTGATAAAGGACATGACCTCGGCGTGGCTCCTTTTGCCACCATTGAAGGTGACAGGCTTCGCTGGCTTGAAGGTAGACTGGGACATAGCCACGGGAGTGGCCATGATGGCTTCCTCGGTGTCCAGGGATGGTGCAGATGCTTGGGTGATGGTAGAGTTGGAGTCGGTGTCGGATGAATGGTTGGTGGTGTCTCGATAGGGGAGCAAGCCAGCTGGTAGCATCGACCAGGGGCCTCGTGGGATCTGTTGTAATGTTACGGCGGTCGGGCACGGAGGGGGGAGGCCAGTGGTCGAGGGTCAGACCTGAGGCAGACTCTGAGCACGGTAAAGGGGATTGGTATTGACAGGCAAGCTGACACTAAGGGGATGGACAAGACAACAGATGGGGAAAGGAAAGGAAGACTCAAGGGAGTCGTCGAGCAAGACTTGTGATGGCAGAGACAGGGGCTGGCACGGGCAGGCTGAGGTTGGGGGTATAAAGGACACTGGTGTAGTGCCTCATGCGCGTGTGGAGCGGAGTTTGAAACCAGGTTGGGGGTACGAGGTTGGGGGTATAAGGTTGGGGGTACAAGCCTGGGCATAGGAGAGGGGACGTGCTGAGGGGGCTGAGGGGGCAGAGGCATGACTGGTGGTCAGTGGCTGTGAGCTGGGTCGTGGAGGCTTGATGGTATGCTTGCTGGGCTGGGGGCTTGAGGTTGGGGGTACAGGGTTGGGGGTACGAGGTTGGGGGTATAAGGTTGGGGGTATAACTTGGGCGCGTGAGGTTGGGGGTATAACTTGATGGCGTGCCGTGACACAGTACTACGTCCAAAGGAGTACTGTGTGAGCACTCAGCACATCAGCCTACCGTACAGTACTGTGCAAAACTTGGCACGACACCGTACGGTCGCAAAATGTCTTCTGAACGTGTTTCGGAGCCGTGACACTAATGCATCATGCTGTAGAGCGTGTCATGACAGTGACATACGGCAAAAAGCGTGTTATGCCGCTCTCTTTTGCTCATTTGCCATACACGTGTGGGGCTTACCATTTGGCACAACGAGATGTGGACATCGAAAACAAAAAAAAATACAAAGACTGTTGAGGACGAAGACTTAACCGGCTGTCTCGTCCAACTGAGCAATACCTACTGTACTGTACTGTACTTACTGTAGCGTGAAGTAGCCCTGAGGTACTGGTGATCAAAATTTGAGACGTGCATACTGTAATCAGCTTTCATCGGGACTTGTCTGTCGGGCCACAATGTAGTGTAATACAGTATTGTACTGTATGCGGAACTGGAAGGTGGGTGGTAGGCAAACCGTAATCATCTCTTCCTTGCGTTAATTTTCAGCACAGAGTCAGACTGATAGGGCCTCACGGCAGTGTGAGGAAGACCATTGACTTGTACAGTACAATATTGTATTGCATTCAAGCAGACAGCTGCTTGCGAGCAAAAGTGATGGATGGTACGACGATCTACGGGGCGTTGCTCAGCTCGTTGGTCGTGTCGGACATCGGATCTACACTTTGCCTTTCGTACAGTAGCTACAATGAACACTTTCCCGGATTTCTGTCGAAGTCTCTTGCCGTTGCCGATGTCTGAGGGCTGTCCGACATGCCGTGCTGGCCGTGATGCGAGCTCAAAGCCCTACACATCTCTGTGGCCGGTCGTGTGCAGTGCTTCAACAAAGGCACGCGAGCCAACCGCGGCACGGCAGCATGCTTTAAGTAGGCGAAACAACATCACCCAGAGGGCTGTCGCACAGTCATTCCCACTGTATCTTGTCACTCTACCTGACTCTCACACGTCAGAGTCGTGGCGTGTTGCACTTGGCCGCGGACCGAGTGTCACTGAGTGGGTGCAAGCTACATTATGGTGATAGAGCAAGGGCACAGGGCGAGAAGTAGGGACACAGACGATGAGGGTGCAAAAGTCTGGTAGGAGCGGAGTCAGCATAGAGATCCTCTTGCCCCAATTTCAGCTCGTAGCACAGTCAAGGTGCCCCTCTGCCACCACGAATATTGTGAGGAAGACTCAAGGCCTTTTCTCTCGTGTGCTTCTGTATGAGAAGAAATCTCAGCCTGCTTCGCTTTGATGACTGCCTGACTCTCGCTCAACTAGAGTAGGAGGCGGGCGTGCAAGGGATGACGATGAGATGTGGACATACGCAGACGGGTCACCAGCGCAGTCAACGAGGACATGTGTTGCGCAATACCACTCAATCGGGCGGGCATATTACCTGCTTGATGATCATTGAGCCGCCCACCAGCCAGAACTGCCGCGATTCATGCGGCCAAGGACGCTGTCCTCTATTTGCTGCTTCCCTGGCACTGCAATGCTTGCCGTCTCTGCGCTTTTCTCATTTGACACTGCCATACAAGTCCCACCCAAGCGACGGAGTGCGTGATGGATGTGCTCACTGCGAGAGTGAATAGTGATACATGGTACGGTTCAGGGTAGAAGATGTGCTACGCTAGACTACGGACAGCGTGCTGTGGCGAGACTTGAGTTGTACGCGGCCTAGGGAGTGGGACTACATGACGGACGCGGACATACGAATACGAGTGCATTGCTTTCGAGCCGACTGGGGAGGGCCAGCGAGACGAGCGAGGAAACAAGTCATTTTCATTTTCGTGATGGGAACGGAGAAAGGTGTCGTGATGCCAATCGATGGGGATGCGAGCGGCTCGATCTCATCTGGCGCACGGGAAGTAATATCGAAAGACAAGCAGAGGCAAGGAGTTACCAATTCTGAACCGCCGTCTCGAGGTCAGAGGCGTCTACGCAATGCTAGCACTCGGCTTTGCGATGGCCAACGCCTCCCCACCAGTGACGCGCGTGAGCCACTTGTTACCTCCCCTCCTCGCAAGGTACTTCCAGGCCTCGAGGAGCCCTACGAAGAGGACCGTGGCGGCCATCGCCACACCCCATCCGACACCATTGAGCGCAGCGTGGTGGAAGACGACCTCGTTGAAGACGGGGACGTACAAACAGAGCGGCACAGTTGCTGCACCTCCCAGTACACTCCAGAAAAGCAGAGGATTGCGATAGATGTGCTTGGCCGCCTGAAGGGAGAAGATGGTTCTGTCCAGAGAAAAGGCACACCATGCTTGGAGAAGGTTCTGCAGTGTGAGAGCAGTGAATACGGCGGAGCGGGCCTGCAAGACGCCACTGCAGGCGTCAGAAGAGGCGAGGGAGGCGTTGCATCCACGTCCTAGCTCGCCACCGCCGGGGCCATATATCATGGCGATGAAAACGACAAGACAGGTCCAGCCCATTTGCACTCCATAGAAGAGCATATCTGTGATGACTGCCTTTGAAAAGACACCGCCCCCGAGGACATCGGCTGGAGGACGATTCATGATCTCTTCTCCTCCCTGTTCCATCCCCAGACCGATAGCGGGAAGAGAAGCAGTGACCATGTTGATCCAAAGGATCTCGACGGCCGTGAGTGGGAAGACGGACTCGCCCTCGTCGTCTCGGAAGGCCAGACCGACGAGAAGCAGAAGCACCTCACCGACATTTGCGACGAGCAAGGCGACGACGAAGCGCTGAATATTGTCGAAGATGGTTCGTCCTTCCTTGATAGCCTTGACAATAGACTCAAAGCAGTCGTCCGTGAGGACCATGTCAGCCGCAGCCTTTGCGACATCAGTGCCAGTCATTCCCATAGCAATGCCGACATTGCTTTGCTTCAAGGCGGGCGCATCGTTGACTCCGTCACCGGTCATGGCGATGAACATGTTGCGACGGCGGCCTGCGTGGATCATACGTACCTTGGTGCTGGGACTGCAGCGAGCGATGACCTTGGGCAGCTCAGGCAGTTTGTCGACGGCTTCATCACTGAGAGCTTCGAACTCCTGTGCCGTCAAAATTGCGTCTTTGCCGTCGGTGTTCTGCAAAATGCCGATATCGCGAGCGATTGCAGCGGCAGTAGCCTTGTGATCACCGGTAAGCATCGCGATGGTGATACCTGCCTTGCGACAGGCAAGCACGGCAGCTCTGGAGGTAGGCCGGGGAGGGTCATACAGAGCACACAGTCCGATGAAGGTCATACTTTGTTCGCACGTAGGACGAGTCAGTGAGTCGCAGACGTCGGCAGAAAGTCTACGTGTTGCGAAAGCAAGCACTCGGAGACCCTGGCCGGCAAGCTTCTCGGCTTGATCATAGATGACCCTCTTGGCTGCCTCATCGAGGCCGATACATCGTACGAGGAGGCGCTCCACAGCACCCTTCATGAAGGCCTGAGCATCGCCATCGGGCGTGATGTAGACAGAAGTCATGAGCTTGACCTCGCTCTCGAAGGGGTATTCGACGCAGAGCTCGTACTTGTCGGTGGTGCGCTTCTCCTTCTGAGTGTCCGACGCGCCAACGAGTGATGGTCGGCCAAGACCGAGCTTGGTAGCCATGACGAGGAGGGCGATCTCGGTAGGGTCGCCGCGGGCGGACCAGGCCATGCGGTCGCTACCGTTAGGTGGGCTGAGCTCTGCGACATTGCACAGCGAAGCCGCAACGGCGAGATCGCGTACTGGAAGGGGCAGATTTGCATTGGCGATATATTCGAACGCGTCGGTGCTGCCAGCTCTCTCCGTGTAGATGCGGCCCACAGGTTCGACGGCGGCGGCCGCCTCTTCAAGACCGTAGCTCTCCCCGTCGGGCAACCAGAGCTTGCGGGTAACCATCTTGCCCTGGGTGAGAGTACCAGTCTTGTCACTGCATACGAGACTGACACCGCCGAGGGCCTCGAGGGCTTCAATCCGACGGATGACGACACCGGACTGCGCCATTCGCTTAGCACCGACCGAGAACGTGATGGTGAGTACAGGAATGAGAGACTCGGGTACGACCCCGATGGCGAGCGCGATGGCATAGAGGAGGATCTCGGAGTTGAGCTCGAATTCGGCAACCGCGAATACGATGATGGCACATACGACAGCGATGGCGAGGAGTACGTAGGCGAACTTGTTCATTTTGATCTGCAAGGGCGTGCCGCCTCGAAGACCAAGGTAGCCAGCCATCTTCTCCCAGGTCCGTGACCAGAAGCCGCAATCCGTAGCCTGCTTCCTGCCCATCTCCTCGGCGATCTTGCCAAGCTGGGTGTGTGGGCCGGTGGCGATGACGGTGCCGGTAGCTCGACCCTTGGTGACAATCGTGGAAGAGTAGGCCAAATTAATGCGGTCAGCGGGAGGAGAAATGAAGGTCGGGTCGAAGAGGGCGTCGATGACCTTGACCACGGGCAGCGACTCTCCGGTCAGAGAAGCTTCAGAGGTCTCCAAGTTGGACAGACTGGTCAGACGGACGTCTGCGGGTAACAAGTCCCCGACCTTGACAGCGACCACATCTCCAGGAACAAGTAGAGCAGACTGTAACGTTTGCAATTCGCCATCACGGTAGACTTCGGCAGTGGGCGAAGAGAGATCGCGAAGGGAGGCCATGGTTGACTCCGCCTTGTACTCCTGAGTGAAGCCGATGACGATGTTGGTAACGATGACGGCGGCGACGACCCCACCTTCAACCCAGTCTCTGACACCGAATGAGAGTGCTAGAGCGGCGAGAAGGACGACTGTCATGCAATTCGCCACTTGACGAACGAAGATGGTCAGCATCGAAGTAGGCTTTTGTTCGGCAATGACATTCTGGCCGTACGTCTCCAGACGGTTGGTGGCCTCCTGAGAGGTGAGGCCTGTAGTAGTAGTATTCAGCAAAGCAATAACCTCGTCTCCTGTCATAGTATGCCCTCGCATGCGAGCCATTTCTGCCACGAACGCGGAGTCTCCATCAATGACGGGTGCAGGGGCAGGTTCCTTGGCTTCTGTGACGCCAGGTCGCGCCTGACAGGTATCGCTGAGGCTGAGGTCACACGACTCGAGGGTGAGGGTACGCGATCGGCCTTTGCCGACGCCATCCTCGGAGTCATGATTTGCGTCGACGGGAAAGACATTGCTTGCCTCATGGGAGGAGTCGTTGAGATGCTTGATATCAGAAGGCTGTTGTTCTTGTTGAGGTAAGTAGGTGGGGGTGAAGCCACTATCAGGGGGCTCGTCGTCGCCGTCTACGATGGCCTGTTCGTTCAGTGGCAAGCTGCAAGGGTTATTGGATGAGCGAATGGTGTTGCCATCGATTGGATTAGTGCCAGTGGTGTTTTCCATGCGTTGGAGGGTGAAGGAATGGGTGATAGTAGAGCGGGACAGTTGCAATGATGCAATTGAAGCGAACGTGAGGGAGCGATGCTACGAGGGGCCCTTCTTATCTACTAAACGCTTTTCTGAGCGGCGACAGCTGTACTCTGCCTACCTGCTCGCCCTACAATCGGTCCTGCTGGACTGTGTCAGCATGTGCGGGGCGTGGCTCCGCATGTGCCTTAATCGCAAGGGGAAGGGTCCAATGGCTCGTCAAGTCCCCAGCGATGATTAAGCCAAGGCCAGACCGCCGCACCTGTCCACTCGCCGCCAATGTGCACCTCACTATGATCCCGCTGCTCCATGCTCTCGTCGTGCCAGGGGTGTAGGAGGCTGGCTCTCTCTGCGCCACTGCAGCCGAGGCAGACACAGGACAGTGGTGACGATGTCCCGATGATCCCCACGCGGGGATTTGGGTGTCTCGGTCATTTCCACTTGTCTTGGCGCACCGCCCAGACGCGCCAAGCATCACTGCGCGCCGCACCGCACCAGCCAGCCAAGGACGCTCCCAGCAGCACCGATCAGCCAGTCTTCGCACAGCCGGGGATGTAGTCCCGGCCTTGCCGCATCCTCGTACAGAGATCGCAGCGGAAAGTCAGATGAGCAAGGCTCCAGAACAGCCCGCCCCGATGCCTGGCTGACATGGCGCAACCTCACCAGCCAGGGCAGAGACTTCTGTACACCGTTCAAACACAAGGAGCTTACGTGACTCGAATTGGATTGCGGAACCAGCTAGCATTCGATCCGACCCCGTACGGCGTGACAAGACAAAACACGTGACAAACAGCAACTGTACAAGAAGGTTATTTCTACATTTTCTAAGCGCTGCGCGGGTTCGAAGAACGCAAATCTAAAAGGTCGACGACTTGTCCTCTTCGTGACTGGACTCAGAGGCAGCGGGCGTTGCTGCCGCATCTTTTTTTGCCAAAATTGCATACAGCACCTTCCAGATGCCCGCTACGAGGACTGCGCCCAGGACACAGCCGGCGCAGATAAACAGGGCTTTGCTGTAGCGTGGGGCCTCGGCGGCAGTGAAGATGTTGGAGCCGACAAAGGAGGCTAGCTGGATCGACATGACGTAAGACGCCAGGGCGACCGGTCGCTGACGCTCTTGGATATGTTCTGACAGCCAAGCTGCGTTGATGCCCTGTACGGAACCCATGCCGCCCTGGGTGACTACAATGCCCGCATAGAGGATTCCCTTGGCCACACCGTTGGGAGGAGCAGCCAGCCAGAGCAGCCCGACTGCCGAGATGAGGAAACCAGTCATGATGTGCAGGCCCCTCTCGCGAGTCCTGTCAGAGTTCCAAGCCAAGCTCAGAGAAGTGATGAGCGACAGGACCGATCCGACACTGCTCAGGCCATTGGCAGTGTAGCCAGCAAAGCCCAGGCTCTTGATGATCGAGGGACCGTAGGTGTTGATGGGGGTGAACATGATCGAGGAAAGGAATGCCGAGACGGCGTGGCCGTAGAAGCGCCAGTCCAACAGGATGTCAAAGTCACGCAGGGCGACCTTGCGGCTGCTCTGGGAAGCCTTAGTGGGGTCATCGCGGACAGCGCGACTCGACAGGGCCTCTGCCTCCGCTTCGGACAAGATGGCAAAGCTGCGACCGAAGACGCGGTGGCTGGTGGCACCGTGTGGACTCTGGGGCAGGTGAAGAGCTGCGAATACCGCAATGGCGCAGGTGAGGACACCTTCAATCAGGAAGAGCCACTGCCAACCAAAGAGTCCCCCGGTGCCGCTGAGGCTGAGCAGACCCAGTGCCAGAACTCCAGCAATGGCACCGGCGATGCCATTCGCTGACCAGAGGAGAGCGTAGCGGAACGCCATCTCCTTGCGAGAGTAGAATTGTCCAAGGTAGAAGGCGGCTCCGGGGATGAAGCCAGCCTCGCAAGCGGCCAAGATGAACCGAGTAGCGTAGAAGGCTGACTTGCTAGTAATGAACATCTGGCACCAAGTGACCGTACCCCAGGCGAACATCAGAGCAGGGAGCCAGCGGTGGACACCGAAGCGCTTGATGGCCACATTGGCGGGGATCTCAAAGAGCACAAATGCCAAGGTGAAGAGCGTCTGGCCGGTGTTGATGTCGCTAGTAGAGACTCCGGCGATCTTTCTGAAGTTGTCTGTGAGAGCTTGTCCAAGACTTGTCCTGTCGAATTGCAGGAAGATGAACATGAGGATGATGCAAGAAAGGACGAGCAGGTCGATCTTCAGACGGCCAGACCGGACAAGGTTGACATCTTCTGGACCGACTTCGTCGGCCATCTTGCGATCCACGATGGGCTGTTGGACGATGTCAGGGTCATCAGTGACGAGGATAGGGGTGACTGCAGCCATGATAGATGGAAGAAATAGGATGCGTTGTTGCTGTGAGGCTGTGTTTGGCGATGGTTTTTGGCGATGCTTTGCGATACCACATATGCCTAGCACTGGAGGTCTCAACGGAAGACAAAAGTGTCAGGCCTTATGTACTTGAAGCGATGTAGGTGCTCCTTGAGCCAAAGCTAGCGTGAATACGTATTGCCCAAGTCATTCCCGCTCCTCGATCCACTTTGAAGCCGAAGCTGAAGATAGCGATTACACTGATTGCTATCTGGCCGTATCTGCAGTACCATACCGGTTCATGAGAAAGATACGCTTTGTGATCGAAGGAGGGAATGAGGCAATAACATTACCAATCTTGATAAGATGGCGTGCACGGGCGGGGCCCGAAGCTCGGAGCACCGAGCAGTCCGAGATAGAGATTCAGTCGCGTGCCTTCGACACTGGCGGCGAGGCTACACGTGGTTGTCGAGCTCGGACGTGTTACTCGGAGGACCGAGGTGATGATCTCGGTGCGGCTGCCCAGCGATAAGGACCTGTTAGGTGCTCCAGGCGTCCGCTCCAAGCATCGGCCCTCCGATGTTGCTCCTCGAACAATTGAACGCTGAGCAGTTTGCAATCACAAACATTCTGATGGAGGAACTGCGAGGCAGATAGGAGGGAGGAGCAAAGGGCACGTACCACAAAATCTCGCACACCCGAGTGACATTTAAGAAGAAAGATTTATGGATGGGTCTCGATCTGAAGTCCTCGTCACCATCTTGAGAACGTCCAATAGGTACACCTCACTCTCTTCTCGCTCACAGTCCTCACGATGCCCTCTGCCGTTGACCAAAATTCCATCCGCCGACGAGGCGTGGGTCTCATCGCCAGTGACCCGGCCAAGGTTACACGGGGCTACGTGCTGATTGCACCTCTGACCAGTAGCGAGGTGAGTGGAAATAGCGATGGTCTCGATGGGAATGTAGCAAGCGAAGACTGACTCCCTCCCGCCTGAATCTGTTCTGATGACTACTCAGGTCCACCTCATCGACGTCGAAGGCAAGACAGCCCACACTTACCAGATGCCCTACCGCAACGGGCGCCACGCTCGGCTTCTCGACAACGGCAACCTGGCGGTGAACAGCATCGACCCCAACACTGCGCGCCCCTTCTGGTTCTTCAACAAGTACGGCGGTGGAATCATGACGGAGCTGGAACCAGATTCGGGTAAAGTGGTGCGACGCCATTGCGACGCGCTGCAACACCACGATGCTCACCACTACGGTGATGGCTCTGGGAGAATCCTCTACACTACCCTGGAGCAGCTGGACCGCCATGCATCGGCTAAAGTGCAGGGAGGTGTGCCCGGTAGCGAGGCACCAGGCGGCAGTGTTTGGGCCGATGTGATCAAGGAGGTAGACGATTCAGGTAACACGACGTGGGAGTGGCGTGCCTCGGATCACCTAGACCGCTCCACCTTCCCTCTTCAAGCGCCTTATCCTCGTGAACACTGGCCACTGATCAATTCCGTCGTCCCACTGCAAGACGGTAACGTCCTAGTGTCACTGCGATCGGTCTCTGCAGTCTTGATCATCTCCCGCGAGAATGGCTCCATCCTCTGGCACCTGGATTCGACCGTCGTAGCGCAGCAGCATTGCGCTAGCGAGATTCTCCCCTCAGGGAATATCCTCATCTTCGATAATGGCGCCTTCAGGTATCGCGAGTCGTTCCAGTACACTAGGGCTCTGGAGGTGGAGCGCGCTACAAAGAAGATTGTTTGGCAGTGGACGGACCCCTCAAAGGAGCGCTTCTACACGCCCTTCATGGGAGGAGCGCAGCGTTTGGGCGTTGCAGCTTCTGCTGCCCGTCAGACCAATGGTCACGCTGAGAGACACGCAAATGGTCACGCTGAGGGACACGCAAATGGTCACGCAAATGGTCACGCAAATGGTCACATCAACGGCAACACCAACAGCGTTCTCACACCCTACCATCCTCAGGGCAACACCCTCCTGACAGAGAGTGCCTTTGGTCGAATCATCGAGGTGGACGACGAGGACAACGTGTGTTGGGAGTGGTACAATCCTCACTTTAGCATCTATGCCGAGGAGCACGTGCGGTCTGTCTTCCCCGGCGAGTCCAATGCGCTATTCAGGGCCTACAAGTACCCAGAGGAGAGGTTTCAGTGGCTGGTACAGCGGCAGAAGGAGGGAGGGGAGGCGCAGACGATGACTGTTGCTTAGATGACACTAGACAGCGCCGCCTTTGGACGTGTCTTGTCGTTGAATATCGCGATTTGTACTTCTACCGGGTCTTATTGTTCCGTCAGAGTAAATGGTACTCATACCGGCCTCTTTGCGCTTGAATCTGCTCAAGACAGCGACGACGTGAAAGAATTGATCGTGTCCAGCAGTTCCTTCGATAGATCACCAGGCGAAGACAGTCCATCGAGTCCTGCCCCGTCAAATGTACCAAAGACGTCGCCCGACGCGCCAACAGCAGCATCCTGCGACAGCCAACCTTCCAGCGCCGACTCCCATGTGGTGGGCTGTCCAGCAGCAGAGGCAGCCGCTGTAGCCTCTGGGAGGTGAGATGCCCGCGCCGCTACGTCTGCAAAAGCAGCAGCTGCCATTGCCCCGTCTCGACGACGTTGCGACTGAGAGAGGAGTGTCTGGACTACCCGCACAGCGCGCTTGGCCGCTCTGCTCTTCCTCGATGCATCCTCCAGGACACCTATAGCGACCTGTACCAAACGGAGGTTCTCCGCTTCGGCGTCAGCTTCTTCAGCTGCCATCACAGTGCCAGCGCTCTTCTGTCCAGCACGCATATGCAGATCGATACAGAGCGCAACGGAGGCGGTAAACACGTGTATGAGCACGACCCACCACTGCAGCGGGAAAGCGATACGTTTTGCCTCTTCCAGCAATTGCAAAAGGCTCACGGCCGCCTGCAGAGTGGCATTTTTCGATTCGCGGTAGCGCTCCTCTGAGTATCCCCGAGCAAGGTAGGCGCGATGCAGACGCATGGTCCGATTGTGTATGGTGAAACCAAGGAAGAGGCGTTGCCACTGGAGCTGCCGAGTCAGTATGCGGGTTGAGTCCCATGGGCGCACATCAGATGGACCCGATCCCCAGCCTAGGAGGTCCTCACCTGGCAACGAGGACATGTTGGCTGAAGTACGTGGTTGCCAGGGAGGATGATCTAGTCGGAGGTAGGATGGCAGGGACTGGTAGTGGGACCAGTTCTCGCGCTCGAGCTCGGGGACAATATCGTGCGTCAAGCGATCTTCATTATATAGGTCCACTGCTTTCCTAGCGGTCAGAGCGAATGAGATTTTTTCTCTGTGATAGGTCGAAGTCGTCGGCTCGCCGACTGCTCGACTTGGACGAGCTGCTGCTCCAATCTCATCATCTCTGAGATCGGCGAAGACTCTAGTCTTTATCTGTGAAGGGGGTATGTTGTATGTAAAGTTGCACGAAGAGGCCGTATAGCAGTCCTGACAGACTAAACTCCAATACGTCCTCCGGCGCATCTCCAGCTCGAGAGGAGCTGCAGCCACTGTCCCACTTATGGAACCTGAGCGCCCAGCATCGAGCTGAGAAAGGCCGAGCCCGTTGGCCATCCTGATTGCCATTGCAAGATTGACATGGTGGGTATCTGCCTGACCACAGTTGTTGAGGTACAAGCCCTGCAAGATCAACGTCTGGATGACGGTCATCGAGTGGTGAGCAAGATACCCCGAAGCGTTGAGGGCATCCTGACTCGCTTGATAGAAGGTGGCATCGTCCGCCATTGCGTTCGCGGGCATATGCTGCGACACTTCCAGATCAAAGTGTACCGCCAGACAGAGAATCGAGAGGAGAAGCGCTAGCCACTGCAGACATTGTCTCGTTTGAACTCCAGACAGCCAGAAGCCCTTGTACCACTCGATGAAGGTGGGAACATGGATCGGGTGATGGATCCACTCCAGCTGCTCGAAGTACGCAGTAACGAGTGCGTCGCACTGAAGTCGTGAAGGCAGCAGCCCGAGGATCTCGCTGAACTGCTGCAACTGAGCATGCCGGGTGTTACTGCTGTGCGGTTCGTCTCCGTCGTGATCTGCGTCCGTTGAGATGATCTGATGATCGAAGCGATCGTGCACGTCTACCTCCGACGAGGCCGGCCGTGCGTTGCCTGACTCTACCAGATCCGAAATGGCAATGGCAACTGTCCGGGGCGGTGACCGTCGAGCGGGCAAGCCGAGCTGCGACGATGGCGAGGAGGACACCATGGACAGAGGTGAGGTCATGGCAGGCTGTGCATTGGCCAGCAGACCTGCCATAGCAAGTGCCTCCTCGATGCGGGCGATGCGATTACCCAAGGAGCTCGAGGGAGTGAGGTTGCCGTCACCGGTACCCCTATTCAGCTCCACGGGCGAACGAGAAGTTAGGAAAGCAGGCGTCCGTATCCAGCGACACTCCTCCCCTCTCCGTCTGCAGTTCCTGCAATGACTGGTCCCATCGCACTTGACCTTTCGCCGTCTGCACGGCTCGCACGAGTAGACTGGACGGGAAGCACCTCCGCCAGGGCCGCTGCTGCTGCCGCCGCCGCCGCCGTGGTGACCGGAAGAGGAGGAAGAAGCACCTGCCGCTGTTGCTGATAAGGTCACACCGTGGCCACGAAGAGGGGCCATTTGAAGTGGCTACTCATGTAGTGGGTAGATCACTACCACGAGGGCTGTGGGAGATAGGAGGCAAGGGAAAAGAGACAGACGGAGAGGCTACCATTGTCCGCTTCGGCGTCGGCATTAAGCACTTTTCCCCTTTCCGGCACGTCCGATCGATCGATCGATCGATCGATCGCTCGCGGCTGGGTCACTCCATCGTCACAAAGTGGGTACGAGGGTAACATTGGTATTGATAGATACGTTAAAGGTAACAACAATCGGAGAAAGCCGGGCGGCGAGTCATCATCAACGGTATGACAGCCAACGGCCGGTACACGGCGTGGCAGGGCGTAACAGGACATATTCACAACACTCTCTATGCGACCTCGCTCTTGCGGGCAGCCTTTGCGTCCCTCTCCTCCTTCCTGAGCATCTCCCAATTCCTCTTCCTCAGCTTCTCGCTCTCCTTGACCTTGAAGCCGCCCTCGAGGGTGCTCTGCGCCTGCTCCAGGGACAGACTGAGTGTCTCTGGGTAGCAGAAGTAGGTGACGATGGCCAGTGCAAAGGACAAGGCAGCGTAGAAGCCAAAGGTGGGTGCGGGCTTGATCGCGTCCATGAGGCGCAGGAAGGTGGAAGAGACGACGAGGTTGAAGGACCAGTTGGACAGGGCTCCCACTGAGGCTCCCACTCCACGGTGCGATTGCCGGAAGAAGTCTCCTGCTGACCAGGGGACGTGACCTAGACCACCGGCGTAACCACCAACGAATACAACCATGCCCAGGATGAGCACACCCGACAGAGCCTTGTTGTATCCCTCGTATCCGTCAACGAGTGAGTGGTTGGTGGGAGCGGTAAGGAACTGGAAGATGACGGTAGAGAAGAGGAGACCGAAGATCATGATGGGGATGGTGACCTTGAGGAAGGCCCTTCGTCCAAAGCGGTCCAGGTACTGTACGGCAATGCAGGTGACGATGAAGTTGACGCCAGAGACGACGAGCGATGTAGCAGTCGAGTTCTTCAGACCCACGGCACTGAAGATGGTAGCGGAAAAGTACATCAGGGCGTTGAAACCAGTGAGCTGCTGCTGACATTGCAAGAGAGCGGCCAGGAAGCTGGCTCGACGCAGCTGAGGGACCATGAGAAGGTCCTTGTACTTGGAGTAGAGGGACTGGGTGTCGATGGCGATGTGATGTTGCAGCACCTGCATTTTGGCAGTGATCTGGTCGGCGGTAGCACGCGGATACATCTTTGCCAAGACGTCGGAAGCCTGCTGGGTCTTGCCAATCTTTTGCAGGTGTCGAGGGGACTCGGGGAAGAAGAGCTCGATGATGATACCTTGGAAGATGGGAGGGAAGGCGCCAATGGCGATGATCCAGCGCCAGCCAGCAGGAACGCCATCGAAACCAGCACCGATGGCAGTGGCGATGACCTGACCGAAGGTGATAGCGACGACGTTGAGAGTGACCAGCTTTCCGCGGCAACCAACGGGGGAAACTTCACTGATGAAGACGGGGGCAATCATAGAGGCGGCTCCTACTCCGAGTCCCATGACGAGACGTCCGACGGCAAAGGGCCATTTGCTACTGATCGATGCTTGGATGACGGCTCCGATGACAAAGACAAAGTCGCAGAAGACGAGGGTTCGCTTTCGTCCCAATTTGTCGGAGAGGTATCCGGCAAAGATGGCACCGAAGATGGCTCCTACGGACAGGGCGGAGGTGATGAGTTCCTTCTCGCCTGAAGTGAGTAGAGCACCTCCAATGTCCGTACCGGTCTGAACCAGGACGGTGTTGATGGCTCCAGTGTCGTACCCGAAGAGCATTCCGGAGATGGCAGAGATTCCGGTGAGACCCCAAACGTAGAGGGAGGCTCCGGTGAATTGACCAGCGGCCTCGATGGCGGCCTCATCGAGGACCTCGGCGGCATGTTGGTCGAAGCCAGAGGAGACGGATCGTGTTGCAAAGTTGTCCTGGCTAGCGGAATCCCCCTTCTTGTCGCTGCCAAGGTCCTTGGAATCGGACAGGGCCAGAGGAGAGGACGCGTCGCGATTGTTCACGGTACCATCGGTGTTGGCCGAGGTGGGGAGGTAGGAAACGGCATCGTTGTTTTGGCCGGGCATGGTGGATGCAGAGGGTTGAAACTGCAAAGAAGTGTGTGGATGGGGTGGGGAGACTTGGTCTGCTATGGCTTGAATTGTGAGATGTCCGTAACGTGTGGGGCAAAGGGGTATGTATGCTGTGAATCGAATTCGAGTGTGGGGGGCGGGGGGTATGAGTAGAGAATATGCGGATGTGTAGGATGTGTAGGTATAGTGAGTCAGAGGGGAGGAGAGGTATGCTGAAGCCAAAGGCGACGAGGAGAGGATGTGGGGAAGGAGTCGAGATGGTGGGGCTTTATAATGGATGACAAGGAAGGAAGAGGGGGAAAGGGAGGCTTCTGGGCGCGGATTCTACCGGAATCCAGAACAGAGGCGGGTTTGCTGTTGCGCCCGCCTGCGACGCGGGCCTGGGTTTGGTTGGGCGCGCAGGTTGCCGGGCAGGATGTTCCTCCGGTGAGTAGCGGTCTCCATCCGCTTGTATTGGGGGCACACTCTTGGCCAAATCGGACCAAAGGATAACCGAGGCAGAGGCAGGATGAGCCAGGAAGCCTCTCCATGGAAATCTCGGATGAATATGGCAAAGTCGGGGGATGCTGTCCGGGAGGAGTCAGGCGAGGTGAGGGGGGAGTCAGGGCCAGGCACAGGCAGTAGAGCAGAGGGAAAAGAAACCCCCCCGCACTAGAGTGGCTCATCTGGGTCATACGACGCCCTTGACGAGGTGCTTAGTGCCCTTGGTCGCTTGCGGGGCCCCCCACATTCTCTCGTCTATTGGCAATCATGGGTCTTCATGCCCCTTACCCCACACTCGCACCTTCAGGGCAGGGGAGCAGCAGCCATCCAGGGCGTACTAAAGCCTACCGACGTGCGTAGGTGCCCATCCAGCCGCCGTGCGCGAGGCTTAGAAGGCCGCGACGGAGGCCGAGGGCCCCACGTGGCGCAGCCAAGAAACAGCGAACAACGCCCGCGACCCCGCTTCCTGGTTCCGTGAAGTCGCCTTTTCGGAGGGCGCTCGCGAAGCTGTGTTCCGAAAAGGAAGTGGGCCGCACACCACCCATCACTCTGCATCGCAAAGGGCATTGCACAGCAGGCAGCATGACGAATGTCACTAAGAAGGTGCAGATTGATACAGATTTGCAAGGCGAAGTCTTTCAAGTGGAAGCGCAGGGTGAGAGGCCAATGTGATGTCGACCCCACGGGGTTGTATACAGTGGTCATATGCTCTTAGCTGCTGCATCTCATTTGAGCGCACCTACGGTGCCTTTCTTACGGGTGAGCCACTTCTTCATCACACCACGACTCCCTCCCGCCGCTCCGACCCTCATCAACGCCGCTTTGCGTTCGTGATCATCCTCGTCGTCGCTGCCCAGGTGCACACTGGCGCAGGGGATCACCAGACCATCGTACACGCCCTCTCCCGTAGCCAACCCACCGGGGGCGAGGAGATTGCGATTCAAGGGCGTGGCTCCCAGGCGTTGCTCTCCCTTGGAGGCTTCCAGAGTACCGGCATTGAGACCCAGTGAGGAGGACGCACCCTTGCGTCGTCCGTGGCAGGGCGAGAATGGTACGGATGGGAAGCACCCTCCTTTGCTGTTGGGAGATCCCAGCGAGGAGGATCTGAAGCGACTTCCCGGCGGTGGGTCTATAGCAGATGTTGCGCTGAAGGGAGATGACGATCCTAGTCCAGTACTTCGCATGGGGGACGAGTCAAAGGAGAAGGCGCTTCGAGCTGTTGCAGGACCATCGAGCCTTCCATTGTTGGTTCTCATTGCCGAAAAGGCCTGGGCTACCATGGTCGGGCTCATCTCATAGGCGGACCACGGGCGAGTACGCTTGCGCATCGAGATGGGGGAAATGCCACACGAGCTTGAGCTGGACTTCGACGACAACGGAGACATTGGCGCAGCGACCGGAGTCCCCTTTGCAGTAATACGGCTACTGCTGCTTCCTTCAAAGTCCGTGACTGCTTCGTTGTTCGTCTCTCCATAAGCCGAGTGCTCCACCAGATCGCCCGTAGCGCCTCGTCGCGGAGTCAACTCCAATCGAGCAGGACGAGGCCGGTCTTTGCGAGCCTCTCCGCTGTTGCTCCTGCTCCGAGAGCCAGCGGTGTCATCTGCAAATTTGATGGACGCATTGTTGCGAAGAAAGGAGGCAGAGGCCACGGCTCCGGACGACTCGTAGACCGTCTGGAAAGCGTCGTCGAGGTCTCTTGTGGACTGTAGACGATGAGGAAGCGGCAAGAAGGCAGGCAAGCGGATCGACTCGGAGGCGGATTCCTCGCATCGTTGCGCCTCGATATTCACCAGCGCTTCAGAGAGACTGAGGTCAGGCAACTTATCGCCAATGACGTTGCCTCGACCGCTAGCACTGTGGCTGCGCTTCATTCTCGTCCTTCTCTGTGGCACTTCCAGCCCGCTGTCGTAATCGCCGCCGAATTCTTGAGGGTCGTCTGTGAGGATGCCGTGCGGCTGAAAGAAGTCGGCTCGGTCTGGCGAGCAGACTTGCAAAGGTGCCAGACTCCCGAGGAGGTAGGCCGAAGAGCGGCGCCGGTACGGGTCGAACCCGTGTACTGGATTCGGTGTGCTAGGTAGAGAGGATTGCTGCGAGCCTCGACGCGACGAGGGAAAAGAGGGTGAAGGGGCGCCAAGTAGCGAGCGGTTTTCTTCCCGCTCTGTAAGACGAAGCGGGGAGAACACACAAGTTCAATTCACTAATACCTCCGCTGGGCGTCGGCCACAGTCGACTCACCAATCCCATCGAACCACCATCTCCCATCCTCATCCTTGGTATGCAGCGCCAACTGCCGCTTCTGTGTCCTAGTCTGTCCAAAGAATCTCTCGATCTCGACTTGTGTCTGGAAGTCCACTGGTCGAAACCTGTTCTTGTTGACAGCCGAAGAACAAGAAGCACCCGCGGCGTGCTGCTCAGAGAAATCCTCCCTGATAGTCGTGGGAGAAGTAGGACTGTGTAGGAATGGGAAGGCTGTAGCCAGGGGTGAGAGCTGCTCCATTGTAGTCATCGCCATAATGGAAGTGTGAGATCGTTTGCGAGGGGAGAGGCCGGGGGAGGTCGCGTTTGGGAGGGACGAAGTGTTGATGATCTCTTGGATGTCCTCTAGCCTCAGAGGTACCACTTGAGCCCTCCTGTACGGGCCATTCGATGATCTATTCAGCACAGAGTAAGTGGTAGGAGGCCTGGGTGTGGCGCATAGCACCCAGTCCGGAAGTCCGGGAAGTGACGACAGGGCCATGGTGAGGGCGAGGCCGAGGGGCGGAGGAGTAGGTCCGGCCTTTGTTCGAGGTCCCTGACGAGATGCTGCGAGCGGCTGCAGCCAAGGTACGCCACAGTCGGTGATCAGAGGCAATCTGAAACCGAAGCTTCACGAAGGGGAACTGAAAGCGCCCGGGACTGCCGCTTGTGGCGGTATGTAGAGCCACTTGGGTGTGGTATGGGCGGGCCGAGTCCGCCCAGCAGATGTCTTTGTACGCAGAGGCGCAGCAGGATCAGAGACCGGATGACGAAGTGATGGAATGTCAACGAGGTTATTCCCAGGCTTTGCAGCCGGTTTCAAGCCATTCTTAAGGATCACCCAGAACAAAAGGATCTACGGAACAAGGCGAAGCTTCAACGGAGCGTGAGTATTGCTGTGCCCAGAGGGCCGCCTTGTGCCGCTTCCCAAGGCGTCGAGGCTGTGCAGATCAGAGTCGATTGCTTTTCTCCTGCCTTTGCAGCTGCATCGTCTGCTTGCCGATCTTGCTATCGCTCCTTGGCCCATTGCCATCGTGACTTTGGAACAAAGGAAGTGGCCTTCCACCCAACTCGCCTCGAGAGAGTCCGGGCGTCGCGGAGTTGCACAACGGAAGCGGGGCGGAGCTGCGAGACCCGCCTCACGTCCCTTTGTCCAAGGGGGCGATTGGCACATACACACACACACACACACACACACACAACAAAGCGTCACAGGAGCGAGGTGCTGGTCGCTGTCGAAGATCTTCCGTCCTACCCAAGTACGAGTACAAGGATAAGCTCATCATGGAGAAGTAACTCTGAGACAGGCTCCTCCTTGCGTGGGAGGATTCTGTAGAGGTCAGTCGAAAGCAGCGAGCATTCACCTTACCCAGGTCCCTCGAACTCATCAAGAGAGGGCGTCAAGAAAAGTCAAGTGAGGTACTCGCAGGGTCATGGATCGTCGTAGGGTCGTCTTTGCTGTCTCTTCCCTCAGCGCAGCCCAGATTCAGCCCGATCAAATCGTTCTGCTTTAACTCATTGTATTACACGTCTCTCGAAGTCTCCCATCCCCTACTCAGTGGTCATCCGTCAGCTTCCCGTAGGCAGACTTTTCCAGCAGGCTTTCGAATTCGGCGGGATTGGAGAGACGGATTTGACAGAGCCAGCCTGCCAGAGAGGGAAAGCGAAGATGCCAAGGAGTAGTAGAGGTGAGGATGGTGAGACAAAGGAATCTCGTTGGGCGCACGTCTGGTCATTCGTCCGTAGCGAAGGAGCCCCGATGCTACTCACCGTCCTTCTCTGGGCTCTTGTTGAGCAGGTTGGCCTCGCTGCTGAGCTTGTCATTGACTGCCGTGACGTTGCCTGCTACTGGCGAGTAGATGTCCGAGGCTGCCTTGACGGACTCGACGGCTCCGATCTGTTCTGCGAAGAGCAGAGCCAAGACAGAGTGAGGGTCATGGTGAGCGCAGGTCCTGCAGTCGGCAGCTGACTTTCACCCACATCACTCACCTCCTTGCTTGACGTCGCTTCCCTCGCTGGGCAGCTCCACGTACACTACATCTCCCAAGCTCTTTTGTGCATAATCTGTGATTCCCACTGTGCCAATGTTGGTGTCTGTGTCCAGGGCCACCCACTCGTGTTCGGGGGTGTAGCGAGTCTTGATTTCACGCAGCAGCGACGAGGTGCTGAAGGGTCTGACTGCTGCCCGGGGAATAGGGGCTGCGCGCAAGGGGCAGGAGCGGAGGGTGGTAGGGGCGATGGCCCGCAGAGGTGGGAGGACGGCGGAGAGCATGAGGAAGGGTGGGTGTGCGAGGGGGCGTGGGATGCAGGGCGTACGACTAGGAATGGTGACTCTGGTATCGGCGGGTGAAACGTGTGTGGGGCAAAAGGTGAGTGACTGTGGCCTGTGTGGAGAGAGAGATTGCTCCGAGGGCGGAGGGAGGGAGGGCTGCGCGCAAGGAGGAAGAAGAAGCAGCACAGGGCCCACGCACACGCACCAGCCAACCTGCGCCGGATCAACACGGAGCGACACAGACACCGACGGCCTTCGTCTGCCGCTCACTTCTTCCTACGCACACCCTTTGCACCGGCATCGTCTTCACCCATCCACACGTCACATCTAAACCCCTGAACATGGCAACGTCAACCACTGCTGGCACTCCTGCCGCACCCAACCCAGGTGAGAAGAGCAGAGTGAGGCTGGTACGACTGCGCTGCTCCACCGTTCTGCTTTACTGACTGCAGAACCATGTCCGCCTCCACTCACTTCCGCCGCCGTGGCATCCCCCATCGTCGTATCCCCTTCCTCCCCTACTGTAGAGGTCATGGGACAAAAGTCGCAGTCCGGCGGCAAAGACTCTGGATCCGCCGAGCTCTCTTACCTCAAGTCGCTCGTGTCCCAGCTGAACGAGAAGATCGCCGGCCTGGAAGGTGTGGCCAAGGACACTGCCATGTCTGCAAAGGACTCTGCCCTCTCCGTCGCATCGTCCATCTCTTCCTCGTCCCCTACCGCTGCAGGAGGCGTGCGAATGATCCTCATTGGACCTCCAGGAGCAGGAAAGGGTACCCAGGCACCCAAGATCCTAGAGAGGTACAAGAACTCCGTATGCCACTTGGCCACCGGTGACATGCTCCGTGAGCAGGTCAGCAAGGGAACCGACCTGGGCAAGAAGGCAAAGGAGATCATGGACGCCGGTAAGCTCGTCAGCGATGAGATCATGGTGGGCATGATCGAGAACCAGCTCGAGACCAATGAGAAGTGCAAGGGAGGGTGAGTGGGCAGAACAGGACCAGGTATAAACGCTACCCGGCATCTTCGGCTCACATCAATCTGGCCCCTGCTCTCTATTCAGCTTCATCCTTGATGGCTTCCCACGTACCACTCCTCAGGCTCAGAAGCTGGACGACATGCTTCACAACAAGTCGCAGAAGCTCGACCACGCCGTCGAGCTTAAGATCCAGGACTCACTCCTCATCTCGCGGATCACTGGCCGACTGATCCACCCTGCCTCGGGAAGGTCCTACCACAAGGAGTTCAGGTGAGTAGTCCGTATGCCTGTGACGACAGACTACTAGTCAACTCCCTCACCGTGATCGGTCTCCTCCTGTTCGTCCCTGCTCTGCATAGCCCACCCAAGAAGGCCATGACCGACGACGTCACTGGCGAGCCTCTGATCCAGCGATCCGACGACAATGCCGAGACTCTGAGGAAGCGTCTCAGCACCTATCACGCTCAGACGGCCGAGGTGACCGACTACTACAGAAAGCAGAACATCTGGAGTGAGTGTAGCCCCTCGACGGAAGGAAGAAATGCAGATAATTGCTGGAGTGCCGAGCAAAGACTAACATGGTGCGGTTCTTCGCCTCACTTACTACTCTCGACAGGCCCCGTCGACGCTTCGCAATCACCCAAGATCGTCTGGCAGTCGATCAATGCCATCCTCGAAAAGAAGGAGAAGGAGTCGAAGTAAAGCGATGCGCAGAGAGGCAGGCCGCACTGGATGAGATAGCGCAGGGTAGAGCAAGAGGCGGTCGAAAGAAGGCAGAGAGACAGACAGACAGAGAGAAGAGAAATGTTGTGATGGACCCTTCCCGGCTGGTCCGTCCGTTAATAGTATCCAAGCAATGGACTTACCTCGTCGAAGTTCCGCATAATGGATTTTTGTTCTGGCTTCCTCTTCTTCTTCCTCTTATCCACGTGGATCGTACGACTATCTGCACGCATTGTCACGCCCACTACACATCTCCGTGGCCTGTCCTCGCTCAGTCATCGACATCATCTGGGCTAGACCGCGGTCTCATCCCGGGTCGCTCAGTCAGTCGGTCGATCAGCCCGATTATTTGTAGTCCAGTAAGTCAGCGATTTAGGCAGGAATGGCGGGCTTGCGGTGTCTGTCCGTTTCAGTGCTTGTGTTTTGGTGTTTAGGGCCAGTCTGTGGTCTCCTGGCTCGCTTCCTTCCTCGTTTTGGCTTGCAGTGTTTTAGTGCGAGGGGAGGGAAAGGGTCTGTGGTCTCCTGGCTCGCTTC